GTTTAAAAAATGGGAAAAAATCCCAAAGTACACTAGTTTTTAAAAAAAATTCCCAAAATACATAAGTTATAAAAAAAATTCCAAAAGTACACATGTTTGAGCATCACCGTTTTAGACAAAAACGGTGAAGGTCATCACCGCTTTTGACCAAGACGGTGAAGGGTTCACCGCGTTTGTTAAGAACGGTGAAGCCTTCATTTGAATTCCAAGTATTTTGATAACTCTAAATGGTTCTCCTCGTCGATACGATCGCGCTGCCGAAAACGGCTCGTCATTTCGACCTCAAACGAATAAGATACGCGCGTTTTAGTTTTTAGTACGCAAAAGTTACTTTAACGACATGTGCAGCTTTGAACTCACTTATCTCACTCGTTTGGACTCGGAATTGAGATCTGTAAAATTCTATGTGATCGTGGTTGATTTTCCCAACTTTTTTGTGTTGAGGGAAGATAATGATTCTTGATAAAATGATCCAGAATATTCATTCGACAACTTAAGTGCGTAGGATAGTTTTTAGACCATGCAAACTCAAATAACAACACCTAAAAATCACAAAAACAACATTGATAGTTCACTACAATGATAAAACGATAAATTCACTCATTTGCTTCATTTTGGCCCCCATCTCCACCTCTTCCTCCTCGTTCTCCACGAGTTTGTTGTTGCGGATGTTGGAATTGAGAGAACCATATGTAACAACATCATGGGTTCTCTTAATTCCAACATCCGCAACAACAAACTCCGAACCCCCCGATCATTCGTCAAGCTACCGGTCCAACTCAGCCACCACCACCACCATATGTAACCCCAGTTGGGGCTCGGGTCAAGAGAAATCCGCGACCAGCCGTTGAGCGAGCCCGCCAAGAAGCAGTGGCGGAGGGGGGAAGAAGGGGTCGAGGACGTCGTGGAGGACGAGGAGGAAGAGGTGGAGATAGGGGCCAAAATGAAGCAAATGAGTGAATTTATCATTTTATCATTGTAGTGAACTATCAATGTTGTTTTTGTGATTTTTTAGGTGTTGTTATTTGAGTTTGCATTGTCTAAAAACTATCCTACGCACTTAAGTTGTCGAATGAATATTCTGGATCATTTTATCAAGAATCATTATCTTCCCTCAACACAAAAAGGTTGGGAAAATCAACCACGATCACATAGAATTTTACAGATCTCAATTCCGAGTCCAAACGAGTGAGATAAGTGAGTTCAAAGCTGCACATGTCGTTAAAGTAACTTTTGCGTACTAAAAACTAAAACGTGCGTATCTTATTCGTTTGAGGTCGAAATGACGAGCCGTTTTCGGCAGCGCGATCGTATCGACGAGGAGAACCATTTAGAGTTATCAAAATACTTGGAATTCAAATGAAGGCTTCACCGTTTTTGTTTAAAACGGTGAAGTATTCACCGTTCTTAACAAACGCGGTGAACCCTTCACCGTTTTAGTTTGAAACGGTGAAGTATTCACCGTCTTGGTCAAAAGCGGTGATGACCTTCACCGTTTTTGTCTAAAACGGTGATGCTCAAACATGTGTACTTTTGGAATTTTTTTTATAACTTATGTATTTTGGGAAATTTTTTTAAAAACTAGTGTACTTTGGGATTTTTTCCTAAAAAATGCGGCAAGATAGTTAGCTCTCAAGGAAATAAAAAACGAAGAAAAAAAATTAAACGAAGAAAAGAATGAAAAATAAAGAAAGGGAGTTGTCACAAAAAGTTTAATATTACATAAAAGTTTGTTACCTCCTACTCTCTTGTGCTTAAAATACGCTAGAAGCAGCATTAGCATAGAAAGTTGCTATGCATAATTCATGTGTATGATTTGGTTGGAATTGTGGAACTTCGGTTGTATGCATCCACCGCCTCATATCATGTTCCCCATGTCCAAGCCCCCTGCTAATTACATTGCAACCCGGTCAAGTCCTCCTAACAAGTTAGTTGTGACACCTATTTGCGAACTCTAACTCTTAGAAGCTACTACCATGGCGAAGATGTGTTAAGGATGAGAGATTGAGTATGCATATCTTTTGCATCAAATTGTTCTGACTCCACTCGTGGAGAGTGAACGGTGAGTCATTTTTCCATAATATTTATCTTGGAGATGACCTAGATTGCTCAGTCTTTGATTCTGATTTCTTGATCTTTATGCATGGGTGACTATGACCAGTGAGTAGTTGAAACAAGTCATTTGTTGGTATGTGAACAGAGAGCAAACTCTTCATTTCCATGTTTTTGCTACATTTGAATGTCATATGTGTGGTGGTTGTCGAGCTTGTTCTTGTTGTTCGTGTATCAATGTCAAATAGCCAAGGTGTTTCATGTATTTGTGTGCCTCTATGATATGTCCCCAGAGTCTACATGGTTAAGATGTTTTGAGCACCTCGTGTCTTACTTGGTTTGCTTGAGGAAAGCAAACGTTTAAGTGTGGGAGAATTCACTAATACCATGGTACACATGTTTCCCCCCTCATTTCTTAATCGTTTGGCTTGGTTTTTATCATTCCTTAGCCTATTTAACGCTAGGTTGCGTTCTTTTGTCACATTTCAGGTCCTATCAAGTAAAGGGGGGCATATGCGCAAGTTTCGGGTCAATCAGAGGTCGTTTGGTCACTCAATAGCCACTCAAAAGTGAACTAGAAGCAAAACACTGACTCTGTTTCTCCATCCAAGGACTGTGTTTCTTATGCCGATAGGAATCGTGGGGAAGGGACAAAACACAGGCACCGCCCGTGTTTCTCCCTTGAGTGCTAGTGTTTCTCCCTTTCCTATGAAACTTAAGTGAAATGCGGGGAAGGGCAAAAACAAGGGCATGACAAAAACACCAGCACCACAACACGACCATGTTTTGGCCAGAATCAGGTTTAACTCACAATTTTGAGCGTTTTGAAAGGGATCCGACTTTTGACAGCAAAAATAGAGTTTTAAAAAGAGAAAGTGACGATGAACAAGACCGTGGAGCTGAATTGAGCTGAGATACTACCTTTGAATCTTGGAGAGCAAATCGACATCCCAAAACTTATACACATCTTCACGAGTATGACTACTCCGATTATGGTTTTCCTTTCTCTCTATGTCGTAAACCTCCTTTTCACTTGGGTATGAAGAACCCTAGTTCCATGTGTTATGATCTTTTTTGTATGAACTTTTGGATGTTATACTAATTGGTTTTATTCAATTGAGGCATGATTATTTGAGTCAATTGAGTTTTGATCACATTCTATTGATTTTGGATTTAACCTAGGAGAGATAAAAATATGATCGGGTTAAGAGAGCTTCTTCAATTGGAAGTAGTGAATCCATTGTGCGAGAGTCGATCAATTTATTGCTCTATACTGGAATTCACTCCAATAGATGAGATTTTTGTGTATTACCTTGACATTTTATTCTGGTGGAGGTTAGTCGCCCGCCGGGTACTTTTTCTAAGAAGGCTTGGTCTGCTTTAATCAAGATTCCATGCCCTAATTGAGGAGCTAGGGGGACAAATGCTTAAGTGACCTCTCTTGCATATGAAAACCAGAACATTTACCTGCTTTCTTTTCTGCTTTGCATGCAACAAACTTCTCTACACTTTAACCGCTAAATAATAGAAAATTCATCGAATAGTCAGTACATCTAGAACACCAGGTTTATAAGTAAAACTGAATCCACGTTCCTACATTCTCTTTCACTAGTTACACTTGAACATTATTAAGAGTCGTGTTTTAGCGAGTCAAAGCATGTCATTCAACACCCAAAAATTCGGTCAACTACCCCAAATTCCCACATTCCCTTCTTAGCCCTTAACAAATATAACCACTAGATCACCTACTCTCAATCTTATCCATCCATTATAAAAGGTATCGATTAAATCACCTCAATCTCAGTCATCAATTATTGTTTTGTAGTACTACAAAACTACATAGTTTTGTACCCTAATCTACACCCTTTTAAGTCTTCTTCCTAACTAATTTATTTAGTATTAATGATTTTCCATTTTAATAAATTCTATTACAATCCTCATAACCCGATTGTACCACAAGTCATACCATTTCACTAGTCAAATCCTCGTTACCGCTTTGACAACCTTGCTAAGAATACCACACCAAAGAACTAATATGCCCCACACCACTGCAATACTAGAAAATCCCCCACCACTCCCGCCAATTATATTTCTGTTTAATCAACCTCAACCTAAGAACAATACTCTTTAACTAGTTCAAAGCTTAAACTCGTTCGTCTTCAAAAGTCAAATTCAATTGTCCTGAAGCTGTAATTCGGATATTAGAAGCACAAGAATCTGCCATTTCCACGATCAGCTACAAATTCCAGCCCACATTAGCAAGCAAAGATACAAGTTCGGTTGCCAACCAAAGAACAAAAGACTGATTCATGCATTCTGTTAAAACCAGTCAACAAGATCAAAATGACAGTAAAATACGGTAAGGCTATGGCCGTTCTTGAATGGGGCCAATCCATCTTCCTAATGCTTCTTGATAACAGACAGAACAAATGTAATCGTTAAAAGTGTAAACAAAGGAATACCATCACCAATGTGGTCATCTCGTGGGAACAAATACACAGATCATACCAATGAGCATCAGCCCCCAACTCATTCCAATCCCACCATTCATGCTCTACAGAGAAACCAAATGATTTTGCCAGAAAGACGAGGCCGAAATGATAACAAATGCAACCATGTAACTGAATCTAAGAGGAAGCTAGGCAAAATGGAGAATCAGATCGAGAGAAACAGATAAGCAAAACAAAGAACCCGAAATGAACATTCATAGCAATGGGAGTAAATGTCACAAGTAGGTTCCACCATCTATCAGCAGCAACAACAACAGAGATAATGGCTGATAGAAAACATTAAGAAGAAGGCACAGATAGCTTTTAACATAATATAAAGCAAGGGCAAAGTCAAATACGCTCGCTCGCAACAAGACTGCAAATTACTTTTCCTCCTGTTATACTGTAACGAAACACACGATAGAAACAGATGGGAAACAGAAAACCCCTGTTGTTAGTTCATACCACAGCTTTAACAGGGGCAGCAACTTTCTCGGCTTCGGGGATTTTGAGATAACCCATCTTCTTAGGCGATGCATCTTCTTCCTCTTCCTCATCATCGTCGTACAATTCGTCGTAGTAGGCAGCAGAGCGCACGGCGAAGAGCGACCAGACCAGGTACATAGTCGCGGCAGTGAGAGCTCCACAGCCGACGCCAAAGAGCAAAGCCACAACCACGCTTAGGATATCCTTAGTACGGTCTCGGAGAGAGCTCATCTCGTGGGACGAAAGCCCGAAGGGAAGAAGACCGGCGTAGCCCTGGTGCTCCTCTTGCTGCCGCTCATCCCGTGGGACGAATCGCGAGCCACCAGCGACATGATTCCCGAATTCGAGGCCGGGGAAGACGGCGCGATCGCTAATCACGGTGGATGAGGATTCCGAGGAGCTCTGGTGGCCGATTTCGGTCACAATTGCCACGAACCCCGCGGAGCGACGACCGAAATTAGGGTTAGGGTAGCGGAAGGAGTGAAGAGGCCTGACGGAGACGGTGTAGGAGGAGATGTAGAGAGTCTTACAGGGCCTTCCGGCGGAGACGGAGGTGGAGAGGAGTCCGATCAAGACGGAGAGGAGGAGGAAGATGACCGAAACATGCCTCGAAGTCGACGCCATTTGAGAGGAGGAATTTGACAGAACTCGCTCTTGCTTTGCTACAACTACGAACGAACGACACGAATGAATGAATAATATGACTTCTTGTTAGCTCTCTTTTAATCTTGGCAATGTTTTAGATTTTTTATTAATTAACCAATGCTAATTTTCAGTTAGCACTTTTGTTACTAATATTATTTATTATTAATTTATTTATTAATATGATACTAACTTAGAAGAGATATATGAAGATCAACATTTCAACATTTTATTATTCTAACTAAGAAAAGAATTAGGGGTCGTTTGCTTCAAGGATTTGGTACATGGATTTGGTACCAAAAAACCAACTATCAAGGATTTAGGTACAATCCGTTGTTTGCTTGCACATTTTTTGGAGACCAAATCCGTGGGGTCCACGGATTTTAAGGGTCTAAATCCGTGGACCCCACGGACTTATAAATCCCACATATTGATGTGGGATTTGGAATATGGCATAAATCCTTGATGAGATTTTACCCATATACCCTCATGCACTTTTAATATTCCAAGGTTGCCCTCAAATTTAACTATTATACATTATAATTAACAATAAATGAATAATATAAACGTTCAATTAATGTGCAAACATGAGTTATATTTTTTATATCATTTCTTGTGTTCTAGTTTTCTTTGACCTTTTCATGGAACGTGTAATTCTTTGTTCTCCCGATTCTAATATATGTTGTTATATGTTACTTTTGAAAAGGAGGACAAAGAATTGGTAATTGATTATGTTACGTTAAAAGTTAAAACAAAATTTTCTCGTTTATTATTATTGTCCATGTGGCAACATTATGCTTATTAGTATGTATTGTCCTTGTTTTGTGTACATATCATAAACATGTCAAACATATAGAAAATGATAGTAAGGTAATTTTGAAGTTTTGTCCTTGTTTTGTGTACATATCATAAACATGTCAAACATATAGAAAAGGGTAGTAATGTAATTTTTGACTTCAAGTAGTAAATCCCACACCTTTAAATCCATGATAAAAACATCCCAACAAACAAAGGATTGTTACAAATCCATGATGCCTCAAATCCTTGATAAATCCTTGGGTTTTTAAATTACAAAACCCTCATTTTTAAATCCTTGAAGCAAACGACCCCTTAGAAAATTGTTAATGATAACGTAAAAATTGCTAATAATTTGATGAATTACACCAGATTTGGCTAATTATTAATATTTTAATAGATTTGGCTAATAAAAAAGAATCTAAAAAAGATTTGACTAATAAATAGTCATTACCTTTTAATCTTTAAGTATTTTTAATTTTTTATTATAAAAAAACAAGGACTAATACATTAGTAAATCCAAACTATCATGAAAGTGCCACTGTGTTCCAACCTATTCAATATTTCGAAAATGTCCCAACGTATGTATCATTTATCTCCTGATGATTTCATTGACCGTTAAAGATAAGGGTTGACTAGACGGTCAACCTTGAAATGTTGGTTGCGTGGCACATATGTGGCAGCCACGTAAGCGACGCATCAAATTATTTATGAAAAACACAATATTTTTTCTTGGCAAAATAATGAAAATAAAAGAAAATAAAAATAAACTAAATTCGGTAGCCATTTATTATTCTACGCTCAACTTCTTCCCTCACATTCTGGCGTATGGGTGGCAGTCGGTCGGTTTCGATTTAACCGAAAACCGATTTCTCGGTTATCGGTTAAACCGAGCCACCACTTGCTGCTGCCGACCGGGGAGGAACCCACGGCTAACCGACCACCGACCGCACGGTTATCGGTTTTGGTTCGGTTAGCCGCATAACCGAAAAACACCCCTTCTCTCCAAAAAAAATCATTAAAAATTATTATAAAAAAATAAACAAAAAACCATAACCACTCAATTCTTATCTCCTTTCTTCTTCTTCCAAGAAAACCCCATCAGACCCCTTCCTCCTCTCTCCTTCCTTCCTCCCAAGAAATAGGGCTGGAAGTTTGGTACCGGTATTTGGGATATACCGAATAACGTACCGAATTTGTCTATATTTGGTATTACCGAATACACGTATTATTTTGTGGGATTGGGATTGGGATTGAATTTCAATTGTTATTTGGTATTAGGGATTACGGGATTGGGATCGGTATATACCGAAATACCGATCAATACCGAAATATAAGCTAGTGTGTATGTAATCCTCTCAACTAGACTCTCTCATTCACTACTACGTGACCATCAACCACCAAATTCGTCATTTAATTATACATAGATCATTACATCACTATTTCACACTAGTATTAGTCGTCTCTCAACCTCAAATTCGTCAAATTAAAGATTACCAATTACAAGAATTTGAGATGTTAGCTCTAGGCAACTCAAGACTATTTGCTTAGTCTCTTTGCCCTAAATTAAACAATAAAATCTAATTTATATATTTAATTATTAATTGTAAAGGTAATTAATTATGTATTCGATAATACCGATTGGGATACCGAGGTACCGATTGGGATACCGAAATTATTTAGGGATTGGGATTGGGATACCGAAATTATTTAGGGATTGGGATTGAGATTGATTTTAGGGTGTAATTCGGTATTCGGGATTTCGGTATTTGGAATTGGGATACCGATACCGTACCGATTTCCTCCCCTACCAAGAAAACCCCACCAGTGACCAGACCCCTTCCTCCTCTCTCCTTCCTTTCTCCCAAAAAAACCCCACCGCCACCAGACCCCTTCCTCCTCCTCTCTCCTTCCTTCCTCCATTTCAAAATTAAAACCCACCACATCTGCACAACGACGACACGGAGGAGAAGCAGAGGCGAACGTCGGGGCAGGGCCGGGAGGTGAGCGGCGACATCTCCGACGCAGGAGAGGCGGCAAAGGCAGATTGATGGATAGATCTGTCTGCTGCCTTTGCTCTGTCTGCTGGCTCGACGGAGGACGGGGATGGCGAGGAGAAGCGGGTAGGCGTGGGGTCGTCGGGGATGGAGATGGCGATGTCGGAGCGGAAGAAGAAGAAAGAATGAGGGAGATGGCGATGGAAGAAGAAGAAAGAAATCTTAGGGAAGGGTTTGGATGGTTGGCTCGGCTTTGGAGGAGGATGAAGATAAAAGAATTAGGGAGAAGGCCAGGAGGCTGGGCTGGGCTTTGGGTTGGGTTTTGGGTGGCTGGTCGGTTATTTTCGGTTAGTCGGGTAACCGCGGTTAATCACCCTCGGTTTCTCGGCTAGCCGAAAACCACCTTTCTTCCACCGACCGAGGTAAATAACCGTCGGTTTTCGGTTAGGTGCTAACCGGCGGTTATCGGCTAAACCGGCCGGTTAGCCGCTTACCGGAAATCGAAGTGCCACCCCTATTCTGGCGTCCTCCGCCATGACACAAAATCCTCGACGACAGTGGATTAAGGACGGAGGAGATGCACGCAGCGATGGGAGGCAGAGGCAAGTGCCATAAGAGGGAGAGGAGATGATGATGGCAGCGAAGAGAGCAGATTTTGTCTTGCTCCGGTCTCCTACTCCGATGGGAATGCCCGGAGGCGCTGGTGTCGAAGAGCAGCGCCTCTTCTCTCAATCTCTCATGGATTAGGGATTTTGGGTTACGAACAGCGACGCCGATTTATGAAACTCAAACCGAACAGGGATTTCGACTTCTGACGCGCTTGGCTCGGAACTGGGATTTTGACTTTGGGATTTGGGATTTCGACTAAGAACAGCAGCGATGTCGTCTGGCTCTTCCCGCCGTCGCCTGGTTCGTCATGCCGCTGTCTAGATCGCCAATCCAAACCCAAACAACCATCCTCTCCGGCAAAACCCACGATCTTCAGCTTTGAATCCGCAGAGGCGACCACGATTTCGCGGCCTCTCTCATGTCTCAGCCTCTCCCTTCGTCCTTGTCGATCTGTCAATCTTCGACGCAACTCTCGGCATCGGAGGATATGTTGTGGGGATTTAATGGCGGCGCGTTCCTAGGGGAGGATTTGGGGTTAATAGCGGCTAGGCAATAAGGCAGGTCCGGGGCGGGTATCTCGATATCCATACCCGTTCCATGGCAGGTCGGGTCCAGCTCGGATAATTTATCACGGGGCGCGGGTCGGGACAGGGCAACTCATTAGGTATGTAATTTATGTGGAAAAACATTATAAATATTCGTTCTTTTCATTGAAAGACCAAGAAAGAAACCATAATATGAAAAATGTAGTTAAATTATTGAAGAAATTGAGGTTTTCACTTATTTACAACTTTATTATAGCTAAAATATAATGTAATAAGAGGAAAATCTTAAGTAATTTGACTAATATTATATGTAATTTAGACAAGAACGGGTCAGGGCAGGTCGGGTCGATGAGAGGTACCCATGCCCGCCCCACCCAGCCTACGGGGCGGGTTTGACCTGCCCCAAAACAGGTCAAACAGGTCGGGTAAATCGGGTCAGGTCGAAATTGCCATCCCTAATAGCGGCAGGTTCGAGGGAAGGGTTTAATGGCAAGGGAGGAGGTTGGAGAATCGAGGGGGAAGGGATAAGAATTCGGAGAGTTTTTGTTTATTATTATTATTATTATTATTATTATGGGGATTTCACGTGAGATGCCACGTCAATCCTGATTGGATTTTTCAGTTAAATACTAACGGTCAATGGCGATCAACACTTACAAAATAATAGTTCAGGACATATATAAAATATTGAATAGTTTGAGACACAAGTGACACTTCTTGATAGTTCGGGTTTTCTAGTGGTATTAGCCCAAAAAACAAATCTTCAAAGAACTTTTCCTTTGAAATTGGGTGTGCCGATATGCGCTGTAAGATGGGGTTCAAAACCGTAATAGTAGCCTTTGATTTACGTTGACATACGAGTTAATTGGATTTCTTACATAAATATTGGATATTCGAAAAATACCCAAAATATTGCAATTCAAAACATATTTCTCAATCTAATGTCGAATGATTCGGGATAAATTGTACATTTTTACACCTCTTGCCTTGTGTCGTTTGGCTTGTTTAGCACCGTCCTTAGAGCCATTTCACACTA